CAGGCGGGTCTCGAACCCACGGGCTCAGGCAATCCACTCACCTCAGCCTCCCAAGGCGCAGGGATTACAGGCTGAGCCACCGAGCCCAGCACTTTTGATTTATTGTAGAACAAGGTCTGCCAAATTGCCCAGGCTGGCCTCAAATGCCTGGACTCAGGCAATCCTCTCGCCTCTGCCTCTCAAAGTGCTGGGATTACAGGCATGAGCCACCATGCCTGTGTGTTCTTTTCTTTTAACTTAAAAAAATGTTTATTTGAGTCAGAGTCTCACTCCGTCACCCAGGCTGGAGTGTAATGTCATAATTACAGCCCACCAGTCTCAACTTCCTGGGTTCGGGCAATCCTTCTGCCTCAGCCTCCTGAGTAGCCGGGACTACAGGTGGTGCCATCATGGCCGGCTAATTTTTTATTTTTTCCTTTTATGTGTATGTTGCTTAGTCTGGTCTCAATCTCCTGGCCTCAAGGAATCCTGTGGCCTTGACTTCCCAAAGTGTTGGGATTACAGGGATGAGCCACCGTGCCCGGACCTTGATTTTGATTCATTGGGAAGGCACACAGAACTTGGGGAAACACATTTACCTGTTTATTATAAAGGATAAGACCCTGGTCACTACACTGCAGCCTGGGTGATGGAGTGACTCTAATTTTAAAAAAAAAGTGTAGGTGACACAGGTGAAGGGCAACAAGTGGGGTATGAGTGAAGGGGCTGGAGCCCCCGCCCCTCACTGGGCACCTCTTCATGGCCAACAGCCTGAAGCCCATCAAGAAAGAGTTCAAGGCCGGGCTCGATGGCTCAGCCTGTAATTCCAGCACTTTGGGAGGCCAAGGCGAGTGGATTGACTGAGCCTGCAGGTTCGAGACCAGCCTCGGCAAGTTGGCGAGACCTCATCTCTACAATAAATCAAAAATTAGCTGGGTGTGGTAGCACGCGCCTGTAGCTCTGGCTACTTGGAAGGCTGAGGCGGAAGAATCGCCAGAGCCCAGGAGGTCGACGCTGGGGTGGCTGGGAGTATGCCACTCCAGCCTGGGTGACAGAGTGAGACTCCAACTCAAAAAAAAAAAAAGAGTTCAAGAGTTTTTGCAGAATGTAGCCTCCATGCTCCTCCTCTCCTGGGGGCCGGTGATGGGCCTACCAGTCCCAACTCTCTATCTCGTAGGGCCCCACCCTTAGCATAATTTCAGGTGTTCTTCCAGAAGCTCACTGTGAATGACAAGACACTCCTTCCATCGGGACATTCCAAGGGTTTCAGGAGCGGTGATGGGAACCGGGGACAAACGCCAGGTGCATTTCTTATCCTAGCCCAGAAGGTAAACCTGAGACGATCAGCTGGAAGAGAACAGCGGCAGGACGGCAGGTTCTCTTCTAAGGAGCCTCACGGGACCCTGAATCTTTAAGCCAGGGCCCTGGCTCATTCTGATAACTAAGTGATTTTTAAAAACCCAGATAGAGTTGATTTTATTTCCTCACCACACACTAGGCTTCCTGGAAGATTCTGGATCTTTGGGGCACTCGGCTCACTTCCTCACCAGAGCTGTTTCTGCTTCTGTAGACCAGCTCGGGTCTGTGCCCCGTCCGCCCCTCGTCCCTCACACAAACCCACTGAGGTGGGCAGGCGTGTGACGTGGGATCTGCTGAAAGCTGGGGCGGCGGGATCCACACAGGGGCAGCTTCAGTTTCCAGGTCTTCCCCTGGCCCCAGCTGTGTCTACACCGTGGACCACACTGTCCCTGACAGGAGATCCTGATTGTCCTGTGCTCTGCAGGTGCATGTGGCTCTGCACATGCTTCTAAAGGAAGCATCTGATGAGTATGACCCCCTGCTCTGTCAAGAGGGTGGCGTCAACACCCGGGGTGTCTACACCTGGAGTAATAACAGGCAGCGGAGTCTGAATGGCTACAGGTTATGGGCCAGTGGGAGGGAGAGTTGACATCTGGACTCAGGTCTGACCCCACAGCCTTGGGCAGGGAGCCTCCACCTAGGGTGCCCACTGGTGGCCTGCTCCACACCAGCTTCCCCTGCCTGGATTTTGGCTAGTGAGTGGGGCTGGAGGGGATGTCCCCATTGGAGACACAGCCAACCCAGGCTGTGCGGCCAGGAGGAGTGAGTGGGGTGCAGAGGCCAGGGGGGGCTGCTGCTACTGGCCATGTGGCACTTGGCATGTCACCTTCCTCGCGTGTGGTTGTGAAGACTTAGTGAACCAAGACGCCGGGTCCACTGAGTTGGGGTTTGGCGCACTCAACTTGCAAGGAGCTGCGGCCAGCCTGCCTTGGACCACAGCCTGCTCCATCAGGCTCCATCAGGCCCCTGGGCAGACGGCAGCTTCCTCCTTTTGGGACCTCCCGGGTGGGGACAGAATGGAGAGTTTAGCCTGAGGTCAGACCCGCTGCTGTGGCCAAAGGCCACCACTGGGTCTGGTGAGCTCATGGGGCGGAGGCCGCAGAAGGGGCCGTGACCAGTCTGAGGCCAGAACTGGTGGGAGGCTTGACCCTGCTCCCCTCCCCTGGTGTTCAGATGTCCCAGATGACGTCCAACTGAGTCGGGGCTGTAGGGTGGCAGCTCTGGCTGGGGGTGGGGCGCTTTGGCACCACATCCCTGCCCCCAAGCCTAGGGGATTAATCCACCCTCTGGACCCCGCTGCAGGGAGGGACCTCTTCCTGCTGTCCTTCCCCTCAACACCCACTTGGGATGGGGGAAGACCCCCTTGCCCCCAGAACGGCACAGCCCAGGCCCCCTTCCTGGAGGCAGGAGGTTCAGCACCTTGGAGAGGGGACAGCTTGGTGCCCATGGAGGCACTGGGGCGGCCACACACACCTGCATTCCCGAGAGGTGGGGGGTTCTCAGGAGGTTGCCAAGGGCACTCACAAGGGGACACGTGGGGTTCGAGCCCAAGAGCAGATCCTGGTGGAGTCAAGCACGGACCCTCACCTGGGTGCCAGGTGGCTAGACCCCCACAATGCCCCAACTGGCCCCCTCTGGGATCACCTCCCCCTCTGCCACTAGCAACCTTGCAGGTGGGCTTGGTAAAGGGTGGCCGAGCCAGCTTCAGGGCAGACTTGGGTAAGGACTGACGACTGCCCGGTCTCTGGGTCCCCAGGCTACACGGGAGGGCCGGCAGCCATAGCCATGCAGCTGACACTTGGGGGCCAGACATGGGGCCTCACGCAGACCCTTGCACCCGAGAGTGCCCAATGGCTCGTGTGGCCCCAACTCGGGCCCAGTCACGGTCAGGCGACACAGGACTCGGCTTGTTATAAATACACGTGTTTGGTGAGTGAGGGGGACAGAAGGCAGAGACATGGCGCTGTACACAGCTGGTATAGGCTTGGACCCTGAACACCACAGACAGTCCGCCCCGCAGGGCGGGTGGGCAGCATCCTGGGGCCCGTAACACTTGGTGGTGGGCGGGCCGGGGAGGCCTGGCCAGGCCTGGCGGTCCTAGCTCCCTGGTCCGAGGTCCTGGCGGTACCTGGGCTCAGCTCACGTCGTTCAGGGCCTGGCGGGACAGATGCAGTCAGGAGGACGCCCCAGCTCCGACTCCAAGCGCGGTCAGGAGGGGCCCGGGCCTGACCCTCCCCCCAGCCCACGCACCTTGCGGGCGAACTCGGGCAGCACGAAGGCCGCACGGTGCACGTCCGCGTTGTAGTACTTGAGCCTCCTCTGCTCCACCTGCGTCGGCGTCAGCGGCTGCACCGGCTCCCGGAAGTTGGTGCTCTGGGGAGCAGGGAGGGCGTGAGGGAGGGGCTCTCCGTGCCGCCCACGCCCCCGCCGCCAGGCCCCAGCTCACCGGGTTCTTGCTGCACAGCATGAAGCCGATCTGGCCGCTGGGATAGGTGGGGATGGTGCAGTAGGCGTAGCCCACCACCGGGAAGAGCGACCTGCAGAACTGCCGCATCTCCTTGATGAGGTCCAGATGCAGCCACTGGCACTCGCCTGGGGGGTCATGGCGTCAGCACCCGCAGGGATGCACCGCTGGCCCTGCCCCGCCCCTCCTCGCGGCCCATCCGCCGACCTGGCCCGCGCTCACCCTGGCAGCAGAGGATGCCGTCTTCCTTGAGGGCCGTCTTCATGAGCTGGTAATAGGATTCCTTGAAGAGGCTTTCGGCAGGGCCTGCGGGGAAGGAAGGACACGTGGTAGCTGAGGCCTCGAGGCCACTGTCACCCTGCTATACCTGCACTGCTGCCCAGAGACAGAGCCAGGATTTGAACCCAGGTCTGGAATTCAGAAGGCAGCCCCAGCTCTGAAAACCCACTCCCCAGGGTCTGAGGACTCCGCGTCTGAATCCCACTCCTGGGGTCCCCTCAAGGGCACTGCAGCACTGGAACCTCCATCCAGGCCTTGGCTGGAAACTGGGGCCCAGTTTCAGTAGGCCCAGGCCGGCCCTGCCACCCGCGATCCCGAGCCATGTTTGAGGGTGAGGTGACAACCGAGAAGCGGAAAGCACAGCTTTAGTTTGGTTGGGGGGGGTCTGTCCTCTACCCTGGAAAACAGGCCCAGAAGAAAGCTGGCCTCCAGGGTGGCGGCTGCCAGAGGGCCCAGGGCTCTGTGCCCCGCTTACCCATGGGGTCTGAGGAGTCTGTGATGATGACATCAAAGGCGTCCTGGTTCTGCTTCATGAACTCAAAGCCGTCGCCCACATGGAGTGTCAGCTTTGAGCTGGAGTAGCCGACAGCCATGCCAGGCAGGAACTTCTTCGACACCTGGATGACATCCTGGAGGGGGGCGGGAGGGACTGGGCTGGGCCTGGGCGCTGGGGCCAGACACATGCCACCGCACAGCCCAGCCACCTCAGGCAAGCCCCTCCTGTCTTGCATCCTCAGCTTACCACCTGGGAAATGAGGAGCGCCTGCTACCCCCCATCTGCCCGCAGGGCTGCTCCCGCCTGCTGCTCCCTCAAAGTCCCAGCCCCGCCCCGCAGATTAAACGGCCCCATCTGAGCAGCTCTCAGCTGTTTCCCACTTTAGAGGGACGCAATTCCAGCCTCTGACCAGGGGAGCCCCCCTGCCTCCATGCGGCCAGCTGCTTCCCGTTGAGGCCTCAGCTCAAACACCTCCCTCCATGCTTTCACCTGTACCCTGCCTTCTCAGTCCCAGTCACACCCTCACCTGGTCACACTCTGACATCGCCTCTAAACAGGACATCAGCCAGAAGGGACGGAAACTGACCTGTCCGCCACTGCATCCCGGCACAGTCCTGGCACCCAGTAGCAGCTGTCAGCACCCCCCGCGTGTAAAGGTTGGATGTCCGAGTCGCTGAGGTGTCCCAGGCCCGCCTGGGGCTTCAGTTAAACAACTGAGCCTCACCCAGAACCAACATCACCGGAGCCCTCACCAGTACTGGCCTTCTGTTATCCGGGCTTCCCGCTAAGCTCCCCCCACCCCACCCCCAATCCCAATCACGTTCTCCAGTTGAGGAAACAAGCCCAGAAACCCCACAGACCTCACCCAAGGGTGCGCGGCCAGGGAGGCAGCGTGGGGCGGCAGAGGACCAGGACTCGAACCCAGGCCTGTCCCGCTCACCTCGTCGATCTCACACTGGACCACGGACTCCACCGAAGGAT